TGGGTCTATTCTTGTTTTCCCCCACAATGGGGCCCCAGAACCCCACATGGGGATTTACAGCCAGTGAATGGGAAGAAGAAGAAGAATCTACTTCAGGGAAATTCAGTGTAACCAGCAGTTACATACTACAAAATTATTTGTGACTTACAAAATATTTACATTCAATAAATATTCCTCAAAATATCTGACATTCACCATAACATGGAAAAAAAAAATTTTCAAGACAAATTATGACATTTTCCAGACTTTCCTGTCACACTATGAAGTGAGAACAGTATTCGTTGCACATATGCATAAACAGACACGAAAAAAGTGATCAATTGCTATAAATGATTACATGTTCAGCAATAAACAATTCTGGCTGTGTATGGCACTTAGAAAACAGCTGTTTGTAGTTAAAAGAAACAACGCACAAGTAAAATGCCTTTACATTTACAGAAAAATTCACATCATAAATCTATACTTTAAAATACGTATACAAATTACTCATTAATGCATTTTCCTCAGACAATATTAACTATAATTAACTTTTCGTTAAAATAATGTGCACACATCAACAGATGAGAAAATTTTCACATTTCTATCCAAATAATCTGTAAGCTCCTAGCAAAGTTTTCTCAAACACAAGTTCACAAATACTTACAGAAAAGAGACAGCAGCAACAAGATTTTAAACGTCTCAATGCAGCCTGTTCATCTTAAACAACATCGACCTAATCGCAAATATTTTTCAGCAATTTTTGATGTAGGCGATATTTTTTCAAATTAAATCAAGCTAAAATCTAGGTATAGTAGGACTGTTCTTGAATTACTAGAAAATTTATTCTGTCAAGATTACCTGGAAAATTTACTCTGTCAAGATTACCTGGAAGCACTAGCAATGCAGCCATAAATCCACAAGCTTACCTCCAGTCTGTGGTGACAGCACTAGCTATGCAGCCATAAATCCTCAAGCTTACCTCCAGTTCATGGAGACAGCACTAGCTATGCAGCCATAAATCCACAAGCTTACCTCCAGTCTGTGGTGACAGCACTAGCTATGCAGCCATAAATCCTCAAGCTTACCTCCAGTTCATGGAGACAGCACTAGCTATGCAGCCATAAATCCACAAGCTTACCTCCAGTCTGTGGTGACAGCACTAGCTATGCAGCCATAAATCCACAAGCTTACCTCCAGTCTGTGGTGACAGCACTAGCTATGCAGCCATAAATCCACAAGCTTACCTCCAGTCTGTGGTGACAGCACTAGCTATGCAGCCATAAATCCACAAGCTTACCTCCAGTTCGTGGAGACAGCACTAGCTATGCAGCCATAAATCCACAAGCTTACCTCCAGTTTGTGAGGACAGCACTAGTTATGCAACATTAAATCCACAAGCCAATAATGACTGCCCTAAAAGGGCAGTAAAAGTTATTTTCTCTCCACTCTGATAATCTCCTTCTGTAGATCCCAGTACAAATAATTTAGAGTCAGCTGCAATCACCTTTGGCTTGTTGTATATCTCCAAATTTGATCTAGAGTGGAGCTATTGTAGGCTAGAAGCATGTTTCCCCTTTCTGTACATGTATAGCTGTCACTACAACAGCTGCTACATTCATCAGTAGTTACATAAGTTTGCCTGCTAGCCCGCTGGCCACGGGTTAAAAACTCACAGCAAGGCCCATGTTTAAACCTTTTGCTCCAGAGAAGTCATGACTCCGTTAGAATTCCAGAAACAACAAAACATTTACACTGATCACTAAGAAATTCATTTAAAATGTATTTATATAGATTTTAAAATAATATTTCAAAAATATATGAAGATATAGGAAAGGAATAATCAATAACCATAAACATAAAATAAAAGGCATTATATGGAATAAATCTCCCAGGGTCTAAAAAAAAATCACAAATATATTGGGTGACTCAGGCTGTGACCTCTATCACTGAGGCCTACGCAAAAATCTTTAGTCCACTTGGCTTTATAAAGCTATTCAGTTCAAAGAAAAACCCTTTTAAATGCTACTTTTGGTTAATGTGTTCATTTCCTGACCTTGTAAACAGTTTTGCAGGTTCAAAATCAGCTAATAACATTAACTATGTGTCTTGCAAACAGATCATTACAGTCAAGTCAGAAAAATGAAATTTACGCAGAATTCCCCTAATCAGAAATGTCAATTTTTCAGGTTCTCTGGGCAAAAGGGTAAAATATTGGACTCGGCTTTCAGGTCGACCCACCCAAAAACTGGCATCAGGAAGTGTCCCGGGGAAATAAAAGGCTGCCAGCATGATCCTGACCTCATCGACGAACTGTCTCTAAACATTTGCAGCAAGCACCACATGCCTGTTGCACCTCATGTCTTCCTATTTCTTCTTCTTCATTCCTTATGCTAGAAAGCATATCAGAAGACCAGTATTCTTGATAAGGGCACCTCAAAGTGCGGAAAGGATCCATTACCTTTGCTTAAAATGCTATTTTAATACTAATTTTCTGTTTTTTGTTTTTTTTTAAATGTCATTTCTGTTCAGAGTGCACAGTAAGGATCGATTAGTATTCAGTAAGGAAATGAAAACAATCAACTGATAAAAATCACCCAAGCATGCAACCTTCTTGCACTTAACATTTACAGTAAATGCTGATTTCTGAAGTGACACAGCATGATCAAGAACAATTACAGCATGCATGACAGTTATTTTATGTGATGATATAACTGCCCTCATGACAAATTACAAACAACTACACTGATAAAGATTCTGACAAACTAATTCCAACACAAAATATAAACCAACAGAATAATTAACTAAAAATAGAGAGATAGAGATTGCAACAGCAACAACAACAAAACTTGTTAAAAGTAACTGACAAGCTGCAAACAAGCTGAGAAACATCTGATGGCAGCAGAGATCAATTTCTGAGGAAAATATAAATCATTATTTGGTAGCAGGTCCTTTGCAGAACGTCATTCTCAACAGTGACTGCCTGAAAGAAACTCAGACGGTCCCTGGCCAGCTTTCTCACGCTCTTTCCTACCCATGGGTATCGCTTACATTCTGTGTTTACCTTCATGCACACTTGCCACTCCTTCCTGGCACATGCTTTCTGCTATTACTCTTTCCAGTCCACTGACATAATATAAACACAATCAGCAAAACAAAAAACAAAAATACTTTGAAGTGAATAAATTAACTCCACACAACGATCAGAGAAATTCCACATCCTAATTCTGGGAAGGAGAAAAAAACTAAACAGACTCACAGCTAGCATGCTGTAAAAGGCAACTAATTAGCTAAAACTGGACATGTTGGACTAAAAGGCCTATCTGTAAACCACAACACAATGTGTCGACACCCTTTTAATGGCGGACATGAAAAAAGTTTATAGAAAATGCAACACAGACACCCAAAATTTCTTTGGGCATGATATGAACAGAACAAATATGTGGCTTGGCCAAATAACTCAAACATAAATATAAACTTTAAAAATACAATGAACTTGATCCAAGACTGGTGATCATGTCAAGTGGCGAACCACAACTGTGCGCTTCCCACAAGGGCATATGATGATGAGAGTAAAGATAGACATTTAAGGTCAGCACCGTCAATGATTCGCAACACATCCAGAGTCATACAACAAAAGTTGTAAAGATAATTTTCAGAATCAGTATTGTTCATTTCAGGCTGTGTTTTCACTGCAAGAGAACAATTTACGATGAAACTCTACAACAGTTCATTCTTGATGCCTACTGAAATTTACCTAGATATTTGATTCTTTCCATTTTGTCAACTATGTTACAGAGAAGGTAAACGTTTTCTGTCATGCTGAGTAAAGATTTCTGCAATTTACACAGATGCTATGATCTTCCTCCACATGTGGGTTCCAGAGCCCTCCCGGGGAAAACAAGAATAGACCCACAGCCTCCCCACCAAGCATGTCATAGAAGTCGACTAATTGGGGACTTCTTTTGAAGTCAGAGTGTCTCTGCCTGAGCGGCAAGGAACAACCAGCTGCACACAAATAAGCCAGTAAAACGGATGCACATGCAAAACTCAGACCCTGACACAAAGCCAAAGTCTAAATGGACGAACAACCAGGACTTTTCACTGGAGCTTACAGCCGGTGAACAAAGAAAGAAGAAGACAAATATTCCTATTATGTCCACTAAAGACATTTGCAGAGACAGATTGTTTCCGTTAGGTTGACTAAAGACTGACTTCAGTTTACACAGACGAAATACTCCTTCCATTTCTGGTGACTAAAGACTGACTTCAGTTTACACAGACAAAATACTCCTTCCATTTCTGGTGACTAAAGACTGACTTCAGTTTAAACAGACAAAATACTCCTTCCATTTCTGGTGACTAAAGACTGACTTCAGTTTACACAGACAAAATACACCTTCCATTTCTGGTGACTAAAGACTGGCTTCAGTTTACATAGACAAAATACTCCTTCCATTTCTGGTGACTAAAGACTGACTTCAGTTTACACAGACAAAATACTCCTTCCATTTCTGGCTTCAGTTTGCATAAAACAATACTTCTTTCCTTATAGTCAACAAAGGCTGACTTCAGTTTACATAGACAATATACTCCTGACCTATTTGTTAACTAAAGGCTGACTTCTTCTTACACAGACAATTTACTCCTTCCATTTGAACAAAAACTTACTCAAGTTTACATGGACAGTATGTTTCTACTATGCTGACTAAAGATTTACTGCAATTTATATAAACAAAATACTCCTTCTGTTATGCTGAACAAAGCCTGAATTCAGTTTACATAGACAGTTTACACTTGACCTTTCGGTTGAACAATAACTGACTTCAGTTTACACAGACAATGTACTCCTTCCATTATGTTAAACAAAGACTTACTTCAGTTTACACAGACAATTTACTCCTTCCATTATGTTAAACAAAGACTTACTTCAGTTTACACAGACAATGTACTTCTTCCATTATGTTGAACAAAGACTTACTTCAGTTTACACAGACAATGTTTCCATTGTGCTGACTAAAGATTTACTGCAATTTACATAAACAATAAACTAAAGGAATGAATGCTCCTATGGCTATAAAAACTGGAAGCAACATGGTGCTTGTATCTTCAGCTGCATAAGGATCTCTCACTTTAGGGCCTGAAGGTTTGCGCGGGGCCTTTTTTGGCTGGGACCCCTCATCATCACCAGCATCCTCGTCTTCATCAACAACATCATGATCTGCTTGGTCAGGGTTGGGGATGGGGGGCAGCTTCGGTACATCTGTAGAAGAAAGTAACTCTCTCAGAATGGTTGCATGAAAATATCTCCTTCTTTGCATTAATTATTCTCAGAATAGATGCCCGGAAAATTTCTCACAATTTCAATTAATTCTCAGAACAGATGCATGAAAATGTCTCATACATTCCATTAATATGTTTTGTACTTTCCATCTACTCCTTAACTCAGCTGCCCCAAAAACTCTTGAAAAAAAAAAAGACTGAGTAATGAACTGTGGAAATCCCCCCCCCCCCCCCCCCCCCCAATTTTTTTTTACACGGGTCACAAACAAATGTGCTAAACTTTACATATATTTTTTTCCAGAAATATATAAAGATATGTAAAAGAAATAATCAATAAACAGGAACAGAGTAAAGCAATAAGAGCAATACTTTCCTTAAGGCCCAAAAAAATATACTTTGGAAGATTCATGCTGTGACCTCAATCACTGAGACTACGGAGAAGATGTGATGTTATCATGGCTTTAAAAAGCCCTTTGGTTCACATAAAAATAGCATTAACTATAAGTCTTGTGAACATGAACACTGCACAAGGGTCAGTTAAGTGACATTTATAGAAAAAATGCAAATTCCAATCACTCTTTTGTCATGCCCTTCCAACTGCCATAAACATAATTCTTTTTTTAGTGACATTTATAGAAAAAATGCAAATTCCAATCAGTCTTTTGTCATGCCTTTCCAACTGACATAAACATAATTCTGTTTTTTTAAAGGCTACTTTTGGTAATTTCAGAATGGGTATAGCATAAGAAAAAGTAACGAAATAAAATTGCACAGCAAGTGGATAAAATTCTTAACAAACACAACTATGCAAGAATGTAACTCATCATATTTTCTACTAGATACTGGCTATAGAATATTTATATATGTAAGTAAAGTAAAGGACCCTTTCCACGCCTTTAGGCGTATAGGGCATATAGGGCTAGACCTATATTTTTATAGACCAACGGCACAAGATGGGTGATGTGGTCAGCATCACGCCGGCCGCCTCTACTTCCCGGGATTGCACCCGTTACCCACTCAAGGCTGGGTCGACCTGGGAGCCAAGGTCCTATTTGAAGAAAAGTCCGTCTCCACCAGGGAGCGAACCCACGACCTTCCGATCCGCGGCGAGCGCCTAGCCGCTCGGCCACGGCGACTCCCTTTATATATGTATACATATATATACACACACACACACATATACATATATATACACACACACACACATATATATATCTCCATCCATCCCATGTACTGATATAAAAAGAACTCCACAGAGGAGCATGCACAACAGGAACTTTACTGATTATCAGTAAAAGGGTCCCTCGTCGACAATTGTTTCAGCCATTAACCTCCTAGACAATCTCAGAGGGTAGGCCAACCTGGATCCCAGGCCTCTGACTCTACTGCTGCGCCTATCGCACATCGGACGAGATGAAATGGTGGCAACAGGTATTGTGAGGTTTGGTGTTATATACTGTTGCTTACTTACTTACTTAGTCGCTCCTCTTCTACCTTGGGGTGTAGAGGTTTGCCAGAGAGATCGCCAGACGTCTCTATCAGCAGTTTTCTTTCTGGCTTTGTTCCATTCCAGTCCTCTGTCAGTCAGGGACTGTCGGATGTTGTCTTCCCAGTGCACCCTGGGTCGTCCCGGAGGTCTGGTTCCCTGGTTCTTAGCCTCCCATGCTTGCCACGGTGGCCGATTTTCTCCCATTCTGCACACATGTCCAAACCATCGTAACTGTGACTGATCCACTCGGGTTAGTAAGGGCTGGGTATCAAGATCTTGACGTATTGTCTGATTGCGGACTTTGTCCCTTCTTGTCACTTGGACCACCTTTCTCAGGTATCTCATTTCCGAGGCCTGCAGCTGGCTTCTGTGAGCTGTTGTCATTGCCCATGACTCACACCCATAGGTCAGGACTGGTACATATGTAGAGCGGTAAACAGCCATTTTCGTCCTCTTGCCAATTTCTCTTTTGCTAAGAAACCCTCGGTTTATGGCCTGGAAGAGTCTCCCAGCAGCTGCTTTTCGTGTAGCCAGCTCAGTCTTAATGCCTCCATTTTGGTCTAATACAACTCCAAGGTATTTGAACTGGTTAACCTGCTCCAACGCATACTGACCCATCATGATCTGGTGTTTCTTCTCCTCTCTTGAGATCACCATGATATACTGTTGCTGCGATAGCAAATTAGTTGCCTACCTTCTGGACCAGAGTGACAAGTGGACGATTCGATCATCGAACACATGTTGTACTTTCGTAATTGGCAGAGAGACACTGGCTGATATTACTCAGACAATGGCTTTTAGGGATAAAAAGTTCCTTTCCACTAGAGGCTCGGACCAGTCTACACAGGTATATCCCCCACGACGTTTCATTGTGTCCACAGCCAGCTCGAGGCTCTTTATAAGGCTTCGCCCAGTTGTTTTAGCGCTCGTTTTCGCACTTTTCCTCACAAGCCCAGGTGCTTCAGTAATGTGGAAATGAAGATCTTCCATCTGCGACTCGTATGGCATGCTAAGCTCTATCAGGCTGAGCTGGCATTTTTCCGCAGAGTGCAGGACCATGTCTGACTCAGGCGGTCTTTCGGATTGATTCGGGGTACTATTCAAAACCAGGCAGGTCGCCCTCCAGTAACTAGTCCCTTGCAGTCAAGTATTGATGGAGCATTTGCAACATAGATTGACTTTACCTTTAGAGATCTGCCCAGCCTTGAGGAAGCGCATGGTAGGGATTTAGGATTGGTTCTCGCGTTGGCATATATAATACACTGATGTGAAAGGGTTACGTGTCAAATTAAATGCATTCAAATATCTCATGCTATCTATGACTTCTAAGAACAGATGCAAGAAGGAAAAGAAACGGGGAGGAAGAAGAAAAGGAGAAAAGGAAAGGAGGAGGATGAGAGGAAGTGGAAAAGAAGACATCCACTCACCATCAACTGTGCCTTTAATTACATAAATAGCATTCACCTTTGGGTTGTCTAGATCTCCCTTAAAGAAAGAGAACAGTAATGAATATTTATTAATGAAATGATTAACGAAAGTTAGCATATTTCATACAACCAACAATGAACCAGGCCATTCAGTCTTGATTAACCAATACACAATGCTCCAAGGACTGAGGGAAATACAATATTCAAATGAAAAAGGCTAATGCTAACCGATGTGTGCAAGCTCTTTTGTTGCATGTACAGAGTGTGGAGCTGATGCCCTTGAGACAATTTGGTGCAGCTGTAAACCTATATTACAAACACATACATGAAACTGGGATCTCTGTGGCAAAGTGGTTAAGTGGCTTCCTTCTTTGAAGGTTGTGGATATGAATTCTGACTGTATAACAGTTCATGAGTGCATGTGTTGCAGATATCCATAGAGGCTGTACCTGGAGCTAAGCAGCTTGTGCTCTGTGCAATGCTCTCACAGGCAATGTGCCTCTTTGCAGAGGGACTGAGCTATATAAAATAAAACCCAGTGTAACGAAGCTGATCCTTTTGTCTTTAAACACACAACACTCACACGTTATCTTACTTGCACCGGTGGTGTCAATGATAAGCACTAATGTTTCTTCTTCATCTTCCAGCGTTCATTGGCTTCATCCATCTCTGTCTTAGTATGTTTCTTGCTCTGCAACCTGCTGTTCTCATGTAGTATGCTCTAGGAGGGTTTTGGGTTGCCAGGTATTGGTAGCATCTCTGGTTTTGGGGGCCTGTCAGGACAGCGCACCTGCCTTTGGTCAAAGCCTGACAGCCAGCTCTCACCTGTGGCTCCTAGCCAGCTCTCACCTGTGGCTCCTAGCCAGCTCTCACCTGTGGCTCCTAGCCAGCTCTCACCTGTGGCTCCTAGCCAGCTCTCACCTGTGGCTCCTAGCCAGCTCTCACCTGTGACTCCTAGCCAGCTCTCCCTGTGGCTCCTAGCCAGCTCTCACCTGTGGCTCCTAGCCAGCTCTCACCTGTGGCTCCTAGTAGCTGCCAGCATGTGGTAGAAGCCCCCCCCCCCCCTCCACCCCCCCCCCCCAGGCCAAATGGCTTGCAGCCGTCTGTGAGTCAGGACCTGCCTATCCAAGCATGAAAAGACTGGACTGGGCTGAATGTGTGGAGGAAATCAATACATGGTTCAACGGACCGGACCGCGAGTACCAGCAGGTTGCTGTGAGGCGTAAAGAGCACAGTGAGGAACATAGAACACCCTGGTCATCCACTGCACCTGACATCTCCAGTTGTCGCAACTTGTCCTGCCACTCGATCCAGATGAACACGGGAGAGAGTGACTCTTTCTCAATTTAAACCAATTCATTGCACAAGTCACTCTTCATCACTCTGTAGTTTCGTGATGAATGAAACAAAGAGTGGTCCTCATCACTTGTGATGGACAAACAACAACAACAGTATGCTCTAGATTGCGGCTCATTTTGTTACATTCTGACCAGATGACCAAATCATTTAATTCTTTGATGTTCTATAAAATCATTTACTGGTACTGTGCCTATCATTGATCTTAGGTCGTCATTGCTGACTCTTGTCTCTTCTTGTTCTTACTGCCACATTTCTGATACATCTTGGCTCACTGTCATTCTGCATTTATGTTCCAGGACTTCCATGTCTGGCATTGACAGCACAAAGCTGGTATGAATAGCGCATTTATCAGCTGCTTTTCTACAACTTGAAAATTTGGGGACGCAGTGAATTCAATTAATCTATCCTCCCTTCAATTCCAGCCTCATGGATGCCCAGCACACACCACAAGGAGGTGACAAGAGGTCAGTGTATATCCCAACCATGGTATATCAAACCCCCCCCCCCCCCCCCCCCCACCTCATCCTATAACACTGAGTAACAGAATACTGACCTTAATGAATTCCAGTAAGATTTTATTTCCATCAATCTGCGATGTCTCATCATTTACATGAAGTTTGCCACCTCGAATTGAGAAAGGAATGATTTCATCATGGGCCACTCCTCTACCGACCCTTGAAAATATGTCTAGTTCGCTGACAATGGTATGCTCACCGTTTAACACTACATCGAAAACCTGCAAGTAAAATTAATGAAGTTGTAACAGAAGCAATACAAATTATTCTCGGCAGATGGAGCAAGAATAATAGAAACTTGCCCCACATTAATATCTCTTATTCACAGACTTCCGTTCCAAAAAACTGATTTCCGAAGACCCCCTTAACCTCCTCACACATAAGTAACAGACCATTATATCCGGACAAAACAGACTCTGCAGCCACAGGTAAAAGTGGGAGCTCAGAATTGTGCCCAGGTGAACAAGCACCACAAAATACTGAACATGTGCTTCGGACATGCTCTCTGCATGCAGCAGAAAGTACCCAGGTCTGGCCCACTGGCATTCCAATGGAGACTCAGCTGTATGGATCAGTAAAATACAGGCATCATATCACAACCTTCATAGAGACATAAGGCATTCTCAATTGAAAACCACTGGCAAGAAAAACTAAAAGAAGATAGTTGTAAAGCTGTATAGATTTATATGATCTGTGATGGTAAAATAACTAACAACTATCTGGTAAAGGGAAAAGGTAAAGAAATCAACTTTATGTCTGTACAAGTGCTGTTATCAACAGTTAGTTCTAAAAGAAAGAAAATGGTAATATACTGGGCACATTTTGAGACAAAGCAAAGGATCACAAAATAGGTGTTGATATGGGTAACAAATGGATCTAGAATGTCCAAAAGAAACCCTACCATGATAACTGATAAGAAAGATCAACGGTGTCAGACCAGATTAAAAGCTTGATACTGAAAGGAATTAACAGGATATTAAGGAAGAGAGCAATCTAATGCAACCTATTTATGACATAAACCTGCACAACAAAACTTATCATCATGGTAAATTCAGATCCCTCTATATCTGTAAGTATATTTCCTGCTAGTTTTTCATGGTCACATGTGACGGTAGTTGCAGATACAAAATTCAGCTGCAAAATCAGGTGGGTCACATCAAGGCAACTGTTTTTGTTTCCTAGGTCCTAGGCTGAGGGAGGAAATGGAGTTAGGCATACAACAGTTACTCTAATAGTGTTCTCTGCTAGTATGAATTTAGTGTAAGGGATTTTTTCCCCCCAGTACGCATGGGTACACAGTACCGTCACCTTTATTCAGGGGAACTTTTGTCAGTGCTACTGTAACAGACACTTTGAGGTGAGTACAGGTACCTTTCTTAGACATTAAGAGTACAGGCACACTTTTTCTAGAAACAAAAACCTGGCTTAGAAAATATAATCAAACAGCTACAGAGGCATCTGTCAAGTAGTCTTTGTACGGTGACTACAGCACTAATCCCTGCGTACTTCTGTATTCACCCTGAAAAGAATGGTGGCATGTTGTGAAGTAGTTTACAGCTAGGCTTTGATATTTGCACCTTTCAGCCAAACACATCAAATTTCAGACAAGTCCTGATCAGTCACCTATTACAACGTGTTAGTTAAGTGGCAATTTTCCAGAACAGGGCCTTGGAACCCGCTCAGGTAACTGCCTACTCAAGATAGAACCACTAAATGTACAGTGGTAGAGCTCAAAACATCATTATCATGTGCCTTGCCAGACAGCCAGATGTTCATGTCTCTCAACTATTATCTGTCTCTGATGCTCAGGATAAAATATATTATTAATCTTCTATGACACCATCTTGTACCAGCAAGCATCATTTCTCTCTCTTCATTTCTCTGTGCCTGACTCTTTCTCTTCTATTACACATCTGCCCAGTCACCAAGATGTTCTTGCTTCTCTCTCTGATCGTATCTTAACCCATCTGTTTTCCGGCAGGGATCTGATTTGATAGATATTTTAACCTATTTTTCCCTTTGGAAATGATTCGTGTGGATAGCTGTGAAAACTTTTCTTTGAAATATAACTGGGATGCTGGCTAGTTAATGTTGGCACATTTCTGGTTTTTTCGAGACGATAAAGATTACTGTTTCACTGTGCTATAAACGGGCACAGAAATCACAGCCAGATTAGACCAATTAGAGCTGGAGTTGAAGTTGCTCCTCTCCGTAGCACATAGCCTGGTCAATATAATAGAGACCATGTGTTTTAACTCCAAAAGAAAGGTAACACCAATTCATTTAGAATAAAGCACGCTGTAGAAGGTGCTGGATCATAAGAGCAGTGCTCAGTCTGTTCGCATGTCAAAAGCTTTACTCCTAGACCATCTGCCAACCAAGGCTAAAGGCCTGGTCTGCTCTGCCATAATATTAAGTTTTTAGGTTGCATTTCCTAGTCCTAGGTTAAAACTAGCACCCTTCCCAGTATGCACCTCTCCCTAAATTTGGATATACATTTTATCCGACTTACGACCTATGTGACTTAAACCATCTGCATTTATGACCACATGCAAAAAAATCAATAAAGAAACATGTATTTTTAACATTATTCACAATAATTATTTCTACATAGACTGGATTTTGTGTTTTATGTACAACTTTTATAACCCGTCTGAATGAAAACATGGTGAAAAACATAAAATCCATTTACGGCCAGTTCGACTTATGACCTATTAGTTGGAACGGAACATGGTCATAAGTTGAGGAGAGCCTGTATATCTGCATACACACATACATGTCTGCACAAGACCATCCACCAGCCTGCATATATTGTGCAACAGATGTCATATAATTTACTTTTGGTCTGAGCATAGTAAAGAAATCTGGCTTGTTATAATATTCAATAAAGTATATTCTATACAAGGTGTAATATTTATGGATTTTTGTTTATAGCAATACACATGCACATTTCACTGTGGTTACTCTACTCAATCTGACCCTCATTTCTTGGCCTTTAACTGAAATCTTGAACTGAAGAGCCACTGAAGCTGAGCTGGCACTTCACTATCATCTTGTTGTGTCATTTATTCAAAGTACAGGGCTCACGGTTAATTCCTCCATTTTATTCTGCCCTCTGCAATCTTTCCAATATGCTGTAAGGGCCCCTTGGGGACTAGTGAACAGTGCGGAAGCACAAATGGATCATTATAGTCTGAAAAGAATGGTACTGCGAGGAGTAACCAGGGGAGCTGGTCAATGATCTGCACTCAAGGCAAAGGTAAGATGGATATACAATAAGACTGCTACTGGTACCACTGGAATTGGAAATTTGCTTTTGCTGCTAAATATGGGGACTGAGCGTTCATGGGAATGTTCCAAGTGCTGTGATGCCCACTCTAAATTAAACTTTGAATATGAAGTACAGAATCCACTTTGGAACTTCTGGCTTCTCTCACCAAAATTCTTCATAAGGTTTCTTTCGGACATCCTGATGATCTCAATCCATCTGTTTCCCCTTCAGAACCTGTTTTGGGACTCTTTGCCGACTCTGCCTCAGAATGTGCTTAATATTCAGACATTTCTATGAATCCTTTGCCTACCTTAAATTAATCTTCTTCAATGTTTGTATATCAATTTCCTTGCCTATCTTGTTTTTCAAATTCATTGATTTGTGTTGATAGTGTTTCTCTAACTTCACGTAACATATGTTAGAATTTAAATAATGAATTTATGCATGTATAGTCTGCACCCAGTTTCTGAGATGATAATTTAAGGAAACAATGATTTTCTCAGATTTTCATCAACAAACCAAAACCGAAACAGTAGTACCTGTAAGTAATGAATGGGTCGCGTAAGAGCAAGTTTTACAGTTGTATATTCCCCCGTGTGGGTTCCGGGGACCTATTGTGGGGAAAACAAGAATAGACCCACTGCCTCCCCAAAAGCATGTCGTAAGAGTCGACTAACTGGGGAGCTTCCTTTGAAGTCGGAGTGCATCTGCCTGAGAGGCAAGGAACCAGCAGTCTGCATTCAATTGAATCAGATCTGTAAAACTGATGCACATGCAACACTCAGGTTCTGGAACAGGACTGCAGTCCAGAAGTGGACGAACAACCAGAACTTTACACCAGAGTTTACAGCTGGTGAACGCGAAGAAGAAGAAGAAGTTGTAAATTTAGGTTGCAAGTAGTGCATTATGAGCAAGTGAATTTAAAGCCAGCAAAGGCTTGGCAGGGTGATTTTTTACGGCATAACATAGCCTCTTGATTCAGCTACAGACAACAATGTCACAGTAACTTCCTGACACCAACCAAGAGAAACTGGTTTCAAAGACATGTTTTGAAGTTACAGAAGACACACAAGTACAGCAAAGGGGCAATTGGAAATCCAGATATAACGCCTGTTTATCAATAGAAATTTGTTCAAGTATGAATGTAGGCTGAATATCTGCAATATAAGCCGCATCCTATTTTTCATCAACGATTTTCGGTCACAATACTGCAGCCTAAACATGCGCAAATACGGTAATTAAGTATATTTACAATTTAAAGCTATTTTCCAAATAACGGTCCCAAATTATTGAGGCAGAAAATATACCCTACAGGGCCTCAGTCACGTGTCAATTGCGTTCACGCGGCATGGATTGGGGCTAAACTAGATGGCTGGGACAAATGAGCAAATAAAATCAAGGCAGCTGCAGGAAATGCGGTAGCTGCTGCTCGTCCCAGCCATCTAGTTTAGCCCCAATCCACGCGCATGAGCGGCGTGGGGGATACTCTCGGCGGTGGCGGAAGTCGCCGGACGTGCGCAATTGACACGTGACTGAGGCCCTGTTAGGGTATATTTTCTGCCTCGATAATTGTAGACCGTTATTTGGATTATAGCCCGAACTCCTTGTGGTCCGGGTTCACCCCCGGAGGTAGGCAGAAAATCTACATTTTTCCCAGATTTACGGTATTTTAAATTGTAATCCCTAAATTTTACATGGAATCAAGGCCGAAAGGTTGCGATATCCATAATACCGAGCCTAAGGGTTAACAACTCATGGCTTCTGGATACTAAAACAAACAAACAAACAACATTTGATTGTATTTGCTATTTAGTTTAGTCAACCAAAGTCTCACCTTCTGATTCGGTGCTGCAAACCATACCTCACTGAACTTTAGAACTAAAACATAATCGCCATCTTTATAGACGGGTAACTCATAACCAAAAGTGTTGACGTGATATCTCTCAGTCTGGTATAAAAGCTGATCCTGCGGCCCTACTCTCTGGATGTACATATTGCGACCGAAATCTGAACTCTGCCCAACATCTAGCGGATCCGCCTGGTAGTGAATGCCCTGGCTATCCGTGTGTTCGTCCCCACCACAGTTCACGGCCCACACCACTTCGCCTCCAGCGTTTACCGAATGCAAAAACAAACTGCACATTAGAATTATTGACACAACGCTTTTTATGTAAGAGCAAATCGATCTGTTATAGTAAAAACTCCAGTAAGAGAACATTCTTGGGCTCTGTTTGATGCCGAGAGGAAGCAAAAACGTGTGCAGAACAGAACTGAGCGAATTGAAGCCGTACAACACATTACAGCAAAACCTGGACTGGATGTGGTAGAAGTCATCATCATCCATCCTGTTTGTACCTTTATTTGTCACCTTAGACTTGCAGTTTATTCTTCCCTTCGTTCTATTTCTGTGCGTCAGTTCCCTGTTCTGGGGTCCAGCAAAATGAAACTCACCACGGACTCTCAAGATAAGACGCTGCCACTTGAAAAGGAAAACATATATTGTTTTAGCCACCTCCCTCATCAAGCGGCGCACAGGGCATCTGCCTACCTGCCATACTCTAGCTACGCCACTGATCGTCTACTGCAAATAGTAGCTCATTTATATATCTTTTTGTGAAATCATCCGGAATATACATACATACACACATTCAGACACACACACACACACACATATATATATATATATATATATATATATATATATATATATATATATATATATATATATATATATATATATATATTCTTTGTATATATCCATCATGTGTAAATTGTTGCTTTTGTAATATACCGTTTAATTCTGCAATGAAGTTCGTTTTCTAGAGCTGTCTGTCTTTAACATGTTTTATGTTGTTATAGACGTATTGCATAAAATATTCTTCCTTTTTAAATTTTTGTTTATCGTATTTACTGGCTGAAAGATCCAGAAGAAAATTATGGTTGTTTGACCACCTCTCGACGTTAGTCTTGTTCTGGAATCTGAGTGTTGCGTGCACATAAGCTTCACAGATCTGACGTCTTTGTATGCAGAGTGTTGTTTCCTTGTTTCTGAGGACAAGGAAAAAGGAAAAGTTAAATATTTCTGCCCCACGAAAAGACAACAATTACCATCATTATAAAAATCAAACTGGATGGGCAAGCTACAGGCAAGCGGGCAAAATGCAGACATCGTTACAAGTGGGAGGATAACAGCAAGAGATGGACAGACAGCAATCTAAGGCGAAAGTCAGAGAGTGCTGGTAACTGCTGGAGATCTATTCTAGCCATCCTTCATTGTGGAGTTGGTTCCTTATACTTATTACTTCTCATAGAAAGAATTAATAGAAATACTTCGGAGTGGCTGCTGCATCGGAGTACTGAGCACGTATGAGAATATCAAATGTGCAGTGGCGTCGATTGTGATAACATAACTTATTGATTGACTGACATTCTAGCGGGAGCGGTCATATATGGACTGGATGCGTGTTTTGTTCCTACATCAAGATGGCGGACCGCCTAACGCAGTTGCAAGACGCGGTTACTCATGTATGGAATATTGATTAATTCCGTTATTATTTTTGTTACATTGTTCACTGTAATGTCGTATATAAGTAATTTAGATTAGTAGAATTCGTCCCGGAGGTTTACAGGACAGTCTAAATAGCTCGATTCAAAAGGATATATGAAACATTGTATCAGTATCATTACTATCATCACTTCATTTATTTTTAGTCAGACATACTTATTTTTGTTGTTTACACTACTGTTTCCTCGTGTGGATTCCAGACCCTTTTTGGTTTGGTCACTTGGGAAATTTAAAAAAAAAAAAGGCTGAGCTAGGACTAAGTCGCCACCTTTCAAGTCCAAGTGAATCCACAAGCCAAGAATCAAGTCCTAGACCACCAAGAATGTTTCCAAGTTTACTCCCGAGTCAAGCCACTTCGTATTTCACTATTTCAAGTCATTTGTAAATCGTGCATAGTGCATGGAACAGTTCTTATGGATCGGTCATATACACACAAAATTTTTTTTTTTTTAAATCCATGTGGGTTCCGGGGCCATGTTATAGAGGAAACAAGAATAGACCCACTGCCTACCCAAAAGTATGTCGTAAAAGTCGACTAATTGGGAGCTTCCTTCAAAGTCGAAGTGCATCTGCCTGAGAGGCAAGGAACTAACATTCTGCACACAAATATGTCAAATCTGTCAAACAGATGTACATGCAACACTCAGGTTCTGGAACAGGACTGCAATGTAATCTTGTAGGAAATTGAATGAACTAAAATAATATTTATGAATCAAACTGAAATCTCAACATTTAGTTAAATTAACTAAATTCTGATTTGCATAATTTATGCAAGCAATTTTTATAAAACTTGGAATCAAACATAACTAACCTGAAAAATTTGGGGGAATTTTTTTATGGATGAAGCTTGAATAAGTCCTAACATTTGTATTTTGGGAAGTAAGGCCCTTGGAGGCCCTTCAGACACATCTGGCACATGGTTCTATTCATTTTCCTGCCTCCAGACATGTTTTAGTTGCTTTGATGCAACATTCCTTCTCACCATTTTTTAGGCACAGGTAACCCCAGAAAAAAATTGATGTAAAATTACAGAACACATAAAACTCTCTTGAAAGCCATCAATGAACAGCTCACATGTGCAAGAAATGCGAGAAGCAGTCTGATTGACTGGTGCGAAAACCTGCCAGCCAATAGCACAGTAGCCGGCCGCAAAGAGTGAGTCATACCAAGTCGTTGAAGCTACAAGTCACAAGCTGAGTCGCTGGACAAAACCCTAGGTCAGGTCAAGTCCATAAGTCATTAATTACCTGACTTGTCAGACTCAAGTCCAAGTTGCTCAACTCAAGCCCTAAGCTCTTAATTAAAAAAAATAGAATTCAGAAGGCCAACATTTATCCTTGTGTCTTCCTTGTTCTCTTTTCTCAAGTTGGCCCATTTTTCACTGAATATTCAGGTTTATTACATGTAAAATAAAGGTTACATGAACAGTTCTTTTCTTTTGCATCTACCCTTTTAAGGACATTTTTTTTTTCTCTTGTTGTGGTGTGCAGCTGTACTGCAATGTCTGCATCTTTCAGCCTAACATATCCAATTTCAACAAACTGCCAGTTATTCACATTTTGCAACATTTGTATTTTGGGAAGTAAGGCCCTTGGAGGCCCTTCAGGCATGTCTGGCACATGGTTCTATTCATTTTCCTGCCTCCAGACATGTTTCAGTTGCTTTGATGCAACATTCCTTCTCGCCATTTTTTACCTGACTTTTCAGACTCAAGTCAGTTTCAGCCTAACATATCCAATTTCAACAAACTGCCAGTTAGTCACATTTTGCAACATGCTTTTAAGGGGGCAGTAAATCTGTTCTGTTTTATAGGGCCTCTGAACCCACATGGGGAAGTGAAGAGTAGTTATGTTTACCTAACTTGCTTATGTGCACAACTTTGTATTGTTTTCTGCAGCAAGCTGAACACTTCTACAACAGCATTGGAATCTTGCAGCAGTATGCACCTAGCAGTCCTTTTCCAGGTTTTGAAAAGCCAGGTGGCAAACCACCTTCACCTCCTCCCCAAGAGGGTAAGTCTAAAGGATTTTTTTCTTTTGTCAGTGAAGAATAAGGGGATCTCCGTGGCAAAGTGGTCAAGTCATTTGCCTCACACTCTGAAAGTCATAGGTTTGTTTCACAGCTGCGTCATTTGGTTCATAGTTGCGATTTGTATGGATGTATGTGGTATGAAGTTGCATCTAGCTTCAACTTTTTTGTTGATGTTGTTGTTGGAAAAATAGGCATGAAATTACAGCCATGTTGCAGCATGAATGAGACGGACTCAGTAACTGGTGCCAGGAATCAGGAGCACAGGTAAACCCAACAAAGACCTTCGTGACACGGTTTACCTTAAACACTCACTTAGTCAGTACACCTACATAGTCAGCCATAAGTATGGGCACCAAACAATATAGGAATAGGTACAGCATGACTTTTGACACATGCTTGTCGTACAAACATCATGTAGTCAGCGTTAAACTTATGTCTGGGAAAGATCTGACTGCACAGAAGGTGTTGACAGCAGTCGATTTTGAACAAGGCTTACTTGTCCTTCGTTATCAGGACCACGTGTTAAGGTGTCATAGACTGCGGTCTGGGCCTCCTCACTGTCAGCAAAATGCAGCTAGAAAGATTTGAATGGAGGCAATGAGACCCATACTCTGCTGCATAAAAGACACTGTATGTCATGCCCTGCAATATGTCTGGGTTTATCGCTGGCAGCCACCAAACACAAAGCCGCACAGATAAAGTCATGCATGAAAGTATCAGGAGACATCAACTACCGAGTGCACAATGCTGTAGGTGGTGTTTTTAAAAAGAGGGAAAAGGAAGGGGGTGGGGGGGGGGGGGGGGAGGGGGGGGTTTTTTTTTTTGCAGAGCCTGAAAATAGGTTGCTCCTAAATAGCCACACCTCAAAATGTAATCCAGCAGGTATGTGATCTGGACAAGTTCAGACATGGCAAATGCAGCTCAAAATCAGCTTGGGCATAATATATAGCACAGTGGATGGGGAAAAACAATAAAGAGGATAGTGTGGCATACAAGGCAACAACATCAAGCATGATCATGGAGGTAACAGCTGCTCCAAGAGCACCAGCATGGCCAGCAAAACTGGCAGCCAAACACAAGATGATCATGTCAGACTACGTGAACATGCTTCAGAAAATCACAACAGACAGCCTGCGCTCTGTATGAGGAGACAACATTCATTAAGTCACACTTAACCTCCCACATCTGGATATACACTCCAAGGCATGTCAGAATAAAAGATCATGAGCAGACCAGCCAGCACCACCGCATGCAAGAATATGCATGGATGGAGCATATATCATCAATGCTATACCCACTAGACTGGCCCATACTAATGAATCTCCAATGTTGACATAATTGAATGAGAAGCTTGGTGAAGCACGTCAGTGTTATTTTTGATGTCCAGATAGAAAACATATAACCAGTTTCTCATGGGAGAAGGTACCTTGGGGTGGCTGCTGCGTCAAAAGGCTGAGCACACATGGGATGGCCCAGTATTCAATGACATCAATTGTCATAACATAACATTGTTTACTTGCACACCTCCCCCCCCCCCCCCCCCCCCCCCCCCGTATTGAACATTGATGTTTGTTGGGTAAACTGTTATCAGCCAAGTTGAATGTTTGTTATTGCTAATTTATATTGATTCACCTAAGGCAGTCAGTTTTGTAAACTTGTGAAGATTGGATGAAAGGTTCTTATTCACAAACTATATTCTTTATTCATCTGTTTTGTTTTCTTCAGATTATGCTGCATTGTTTGCAAAACTCATCACCAGAACAGCTAAAGATATTGATGTTCTCATAGATAACTTGCCCAGTGAAGATTCCTCTACAGAGCTTCAGGTTGGTTTGATATATTAAGATTTCCGCTCTTTGCATGCTGCACCCATTTGTGATGCCCAGGAAGCAGTCCAGAGCCCAAGACTTCATAGAATGGGCATTACACTTTCCCATCTGTTTCTCTTTGCCAGTGGCACTTTAAAGGTAGATGCTCCAGGGCACTTTGTGCAACATTTCTGGAAAGCATGCATCCAGCATGACTTCCTCTTAAAATCGATTCACTATGTCGAGTGTGGCCAGATGGCGGACGTTTATATATTTTGTTTCTTAGAGTAGTATCTCTTTGCATGAGACATCTGAACCTTTGCTGTCATACAGTAGGACACACAATGGATGACCATTTGAGCATAATTTGGCAGTCAGTAGGTCTCTTGAGCAACAGATGTTTTAACCAGTATGTGTTATACAGAAGGACTCTCGGCCGACAGATGTCTGAACCAGTGTTTGTTATACAGTTGGATACTCAAACAGCAGACCCTGCTTTGGGGTGAGCTGATGAGTGTCATGATTTCTGGACACAGCATATCTGGAGCCACCAACACTGAGATCCCCTGCCAGCTCGGTTTACGCCGATATAGGTCATTATCCATGGCGCATAACGAAGATGCGTGAGGATCCATACAGCTGGCACTGAGGTGAGGTACAGAGTATCTTCTTAAACAAAACCCTAACTTTTCCTCATGCATATGACTGAAATCACTGCACCACTTGGTGGGATCTTCACAAGATCACATTTGACAATGATAACTAGTGTTAGCAGAAAACTGTTTACCATTTGTTAACCTTAATCATCATTTGAAGTTAATTCTATTGCCCGTCCTGAACCACTTGTGTATGATTCTAATTTTATTCTCCATTGAGAGACTTTCTCATATGTTTAGTTTTTTCACCATAAATGCCTGTATGTGTTTCTGCTTTCAATTATTCTTTCTTTTCTTCTGATTTTTTAAAGTATTTTTTTTAATAGACTATGATTGCATTTTTTTTTTTTTTACAAAAGAGTTAAGATATTTATACTATTTTACCTCTGACTTCTTTCCAGCTATGATTGGCTGGGTTAGCCTTTGCCAGGCAGTTTAGTGTGACATTCATTCGTCTGTCTAATTCAGACATTCATTTAGTTCACATCTTCTTTCCAGTTGATGACTCAAAGTGTTTAAGTCTCTCTGTATCTGTCCGCTATTTTCTTTGTCTGCCTCATGTTCTACTCACATTTAACTTTTTGTTTCCCTTGTGGATTGCGGGCCACATTATAGGGGAAAACAGCACAGACCCACTGCCCTTAACAAGCATGTCATAAGGGTAGACTTATTTGGGATGTTTCCTTCACAGTCAGAGTGCATCTGCCTTGGAGGTGAAGAACCAACATCCTGTATACAAATACAACCTGTATGCTCCTACCACCACAGTCTATTAGCCATTAAAGTGCCAATAATTGGTGGTGATTTGAACACATTATGCCTTTGTAATACAGTGTTGTTGCTTGCATTTGCCAGCTACAAACCCCGGTTGTTTGTCCATTTCTTGATGTAGGCCTTGTTCCAGGACCTGAGTTTTGCGTTTGCATCCATTTTACAGATCTTGCTTATTCGTATGCAGACTGTTGATTCCTTGCCTCTCGTGCAGATGCACTCCAACTTCGAAAAAAAGACCTCAGTTGCCTCTTACGACATGCTTGTTGGTGAGCCAGTAGGTCTATTCTTGTTTCCCCCACAATGGGCCCCAGAACCCACACTGGGATAGTCAAACAATGAAATTTCGACTGCATGCTAATTAAAAGCAGATATATAATTTAGGATAAAAGGGTAGGGCACTGTCAGAAAAAAAAAAATTTCAGGATGTATATTACTTAAAAACTGTCCAGTGAGCCTAATTGTTGGACTCTGTTTCAGATCGCTAGTTTACAGAAGTTGGAGCTTGAGAACCAAGAAGAAGCCGAAAGATTGGAAGAAATTGTCACGCGGGGAGAAATGTTGTTAAAAACTATACAGAAATCACTGGAGGAAATTGCTGCATCTCAGCTCCATAGTCAGGCACTGGAAAGCAATTTTAGCTTGTCATGATTGTCTGCCTTGGTGTAAAAACGCTGTACAGATGAATAAGTCTTTTTATTTTATTTTTTATATTGAACCAAGCGTCCAGTGGCTTTAACTGCTTTGCAGCAGGATGGATGCTTGGGTCGATATTGCACGAGGGTTTTATGATAGAATACCATGATAAACGTAGAAAATAGAACTGAGAAGCTTTACCAAGAACGCAATCATAAATGATAAATGCAGCTAGATGGCTTTCATGAGGGGATAATAAAAATACGCTGCTGCAACCAGAACAGTGTTTAAGTTTTTTAGGCTAAAGTCCAGCCATCCATTCTCTCAATATCTAGACGTACAGAATCTTAACTGTCACAAGCTACAAAACAGCCTTGAGGAAGAATGATTTAGTAAGATAACTGAAAGTGATCTATTTGACTATGTAAGGAAAGTAATGTAGAGATAAAATGTGTTAATACAGTGAAGGAAGTATAAGAATATATTTTTGGTATTGAAATACTACAGAAAGATTCTCATGATACTATGGACCAAGAAGAAAATAAAAATAATGGCATCCTGAAAGATGTGAACATTAAGAAAGATTGACTGATAAACAGCATCTCGGAAACTTAAATATGTTCGCCTTATCAAGCACCACAGTGGATTGGGGGGGGGGGGGGGGGGGGGGAGTCAGGTTCATAACCATCTTTTTTAATTTCTGTAGAATTGTTAATTTGCTTTACCTGTAGACATGACCTGTTTATTGTTTATTCTCTTAGAGTGCTAGGTGTCTGATTTCACTAACCGAGTTATATCATAACAAACAATGATTTTTGTCAAGATTCTGAGGATAAACTTGGGCCTTTCTAATCTAGAGATGGAAATCAAAGCCTTTTAACCACATCAGTCTTGTTAACTCTGTCACACACATGTTGTCATGAGAATTCTTTTAGTATCAACGCAATAACTACTGTTAAGTTTAGGGCAAGCGAGCTGGAGACAGACAGTGATACAAGTGGGAGTATAAGAGATGGGTAAACAGCAGTCTGAAAGAGTGTACAGCCTGGGCAAAAGTAAGTGAGAGGTTAATATACTTTGCAGCCAGTATCGTTGTATAGACAGAATCGGACTTGATTGATTGATTTTATTACTGTATTCTGCTGCAGTTTATGTTCACTGTGTGAGGATGTTGCCTTCAACATGTTTGCAGGACAGAGTATAGGTCATGTTATCACAAGAAGAACTAGGCTGCTAGGAAATGCCTGCTGAACTACACAACAAAGAAGGCTGATTTAGTCTTTTAAACAGTGAATTATTTTGTTTATCATTCTCCGTCTTCATTCTCAACATTGTTGTTTACTTTTTCGTTCAGGAAACTTTTGTATGTTTATTATATATTGATGTATCATAAATGCTTGTTTATAGATATGTAAATAAAAAAATCAGATGTATAAATTGAACCTGCCTTGTGTATAAAATTGTAAATTATTTATTTCTTCTTCTTCTTCAGCGATTTCTTTCCCTACTGGAGCATGGGCTGTGTGTGAAAGAATGCATATATCATAGAATCCACTTAAAGGCTCTGTTAAAAGAAAATTGTATTTTTCAATATAAAATGGGAATTTGCTGAAGCCCCTGCAGATTGTGAGGCCCTAAGCTGCAGCTTAGTTAGCTTCTGCTTAAGTCCAGCACTGCCCTAATGACAGTGCACTCATATGCTGTTATATTTACTTGACATTTAAACTCACAGGTCCTAAAAAAGCATGTCGTAAAACGTTAATATTCATTTCAGGAAATCGCATTTTCTTCCCAGTACTTTACCTAGTATTCAGTTAAGGCTGGGACAACCTTTCATTTTGAAAAAAAAAAAGTCTGGTTCCATTCAGATTTGAACCCATGACCACAGGCAAACATCTAGCCGCTACACCAAATTAACTACCATATGGCTGTAAACCACCCAAGCGCCCTGCCACAAAGAAATTTTTGGCCGGAAAGGGAAGGGGGGGGGGGGCGGTTGGATCATCAGCTCCAATTTGTATCACTAAATCAATCCACATTGTGCCCAGAGGCACATGAGGCAGAGACAAACTGTCGCCACTCAGTTTGAACCTGAGCTGTCCTCTGTATCTCAAGTTTTGTCCTTTGCGTAGCCTTGAGTTCAGCCTCAAAGGTTTGCCCCCAAGTGCCGCTGCGCCTGCCTCTTCCTCGCTGTCTTTGTAGTGACCATTGAATTGCCTGTCTCTGTCGTCTCTTTTTCTTCATTCTGTCCAATCCACCACCATCTTCGTTTTTTGATTTCTAAATTTGTCATTTGTTGTAATCTAAAAGTGCTGATTTTATCTTCCCACGTGAACCCCAACAATCTTCTAAGGTTTTCATCGGCAGGTAAAACTCTTTTAAGTATAGACAAATAATATCCTTGGCTGATCTCATTCGCCCCATGTAAGGGGGGGGCCTGATCATAGCCGTACCATAACCATGGCCAAACAGGATTTCTGTGACATCACGGTGATCCTCATCCGCATGGTGTTTATCGCTTTTGTGATGTTTTGGTTGAGTACAACAAGAGAGAATATCATTGACGTTAAAATTTCGTCATCCCCGTGTGGGATGCAATTTTTCGTTAGTTTGAAGCCTCACCCTGGCTCTTGAATATGGCTGAACGGGGTTTCCAGTATATCTCCAAGGGTGAAACTCACACCGCATGGCGGCACTTTGTGTTTATCATTTGTGTGATGTCCAGGTGGGGTACAACTTACCTACCTTTTATCCGCGATTTTCACTATTCGGCCGAATACGAAGTGTATAAAAAATATCTTTAAAAAAACACACACACTCATATATGCTGAACTTTTACTACACATAAAGTAGCACAGAATTGTCATCTTCTTCTTTAGCATTCTGAGCCCTTGAGGTTTACTGCTGCAGATATCACTCGCCTCCATTCATCTCTCTGGCTTGCCATCTCTTCTGCCTCGTGGTCTACGCCCATTCCTCTCTCAGGTGTAAACAGTTCTACTTCTGTCTTCTAGCATTCTTTCAATATGCCCCAACCATTTTAGTCTGTTAGCTCTCGTGATGTGCACTGATCAGTGGTGATATAAACAGATTATTCGCTTCGGGGGCAAATAGTTGTGGTCGGGCCGATTACGAATCCTGCATGCACGGCCATAATACTGACAACATGGAACGATTGCTTTTGTTAAAAGCTAATGCAGCTTTCATGCATTAACTAATCCGTCAGTGACAATTTACAAGTTTAGTTACTTATTCTTCTTCTTCTGCGTTCGACATTAGTCATGCTAAACATTGAGTCCCGTCTGGGTCACAAATAGGATTGTGCGTTTAAGGTCGCCACCGGTCCCCCATAGCTTCTCTTGCAATGTGGCTTCCTTGGGCCAGATCCAGTCTTTGCTGGGATAGGTTAGGGCAGTACTGCACTATGTGCTCAGGAGTCTTGTCTTTCTGCTTCACAATCACGAGGAGCAGTCTAAAAATTGATGTTTGTTCTTTCCTGGTAAGTTTGTTTATGCTGTCACTCTCTGGTCTGCAATCTCCATTCTGCCTTCTCCACTCCCGCTTGAAAGACTGCTTTAGCGCTGTTTTGGTTTCCTTATAGCTGTGCGGTGGATGAGGTTGTGGAAGATTACTCCCAGCTTTTGCCAGCTTATCTGCTCTCTCATTTCCTTGAATACCACAGTGGGCTGGTATCCACTGCAAGACCAGTTCTTCTTCCTTGGAGAGTAAGCCAATGTTGGTCCTTAGATCTGCAATTAGTTTGTCTTGTGTTTTGCTGGATAGTGCTTGGAAAAACAGACAATGAGTCACTAAGTAGTTACTGTTATAATACTTAGGATTCTTTCGTTCCTAGTTATTAGTTACCACAACCCGACTGAAGGATGCAAAACATAAAATGTTTAATATTCTGTATGAATACTAACTAGACATGGAAAGAATATAAACTCCGGCCACATCTAAGTCAATAATATGAAAATCAAACGCCGTTGCTTCTCACTCTATGTATGTGTGTAAAAATATATATTTACATATAAGTCACATTATTTAGGTAATAATTTAAATACGGTGCCCATTGATACATAGCTTATTTCTAACTGTAGCCTTCGTCTCCTCCAGTGTTGGTATCTGGGTATTAACATCTCTGGCTAATAAAGTCTTTAATCATAATGCATTTGTGCATTTTGTATCATTTATTTCTATTCTTGTAAGTACAGTATCTGTATTTGCTGTGCAATATAAAAAAAAATAATTTTTGTATTATTGCTTATAATAACCTTTGACCTGTCTTAAGTTACCAAAAGCTAGGTCACTGTCAACATAGCTCTTATGGCCACAAAAACATACAAATCACTTCAAGGTGGAGGCATTTAAAGAGTTCTAGACCTCAACAAAGTCTAGAAATGGACAACAAAACTACCCAGACTGAAATGGTTTTCTTCCATGTAATAATTCTTCTTCACGTTCACCAGCTGTACACTTGGGCGTAAAGTTCTGGTTGTTCGTCCACTTCTGGACTGCAGTCCTGCTTCAAAATCTGAGTGTTGCCTGTGCATCAGTTTTACAGATCTGATTCAATTGAATGCAGACTGCCGGTTCCTTGCCTCTCGGGCAGATGCACTCAGACTTCAAAGGAAGCTCCCCAGTTAGTCGACTCTTACGACATGCTTTTGGGGAGGCAGTGGGTCTATTCTTGTTTTCCCCACAAAAGGGCCCTGGAACCCACACAGGGGTATGTAATAATTAAAAATAACTCATAATTTTAATTTATTTGTCCAAAACCACATGCTAAAGATCAAATAAACAAGCTGTTTCATTCGTACACTTTATTTCTCGAAGTAAACGAGTTGTTACTGATGTCACTGTTTAGTCAAACAGTCCAAAACCCATGTCGTCGTCTTCAGATTCTTCAGACTCTTCTTTCTTTTCTTCTTTCTTGCCTGCAAAAAAAATGTATGCTTGTAAAACAATCATGCACGGTGTAACTATTACATTAGCTATGACATCATGCTTCTGTA